AAAAAAAAAAAAAAAAGAGATAAGAATTGGAGACTTTTCTGTAATTTTTAAAGTTTTAATATATTGCACCTTAGGACAATTTTGCTCAATATAATATTACATAATAATGATACATAAAATTCACAATATCGTGTAAGAAACATTCGCAAAAATCCCTTCTTAGACTATGGTTGTTAAAACTAGCTGATAAGCTAGTTTATAACTTATCAGCAATTTTCGAGTCTATAACTTATGACTTATAGCTGAAAAGCTAGTTTATATGATAAAAGTGTTTGGTAAAACTTAGCCGATAAGCTAGCTGAAATAAAATTTTCATCGAGAATATCTAAAAATCTACCTAAACAAGCTTATGAGATAAGTTTGAGCTTTTTAAAAAGCTCGTCCGACCAAACGAAACTTATTTAAATACATGAAACTTATAGGCTAATCAGATAAGATAAAAGCTAGCTTATTTGTCTATCAACCATACCCTTAATTTTTGTTTTATATAAAAAAAAAATATATAAAATTATGCTAAAAAATAAAGTAGGTATTGAACTGAAATTTAGAAGTAAAATCATATAATCAAACCAAATTTTAAAGATTTGAACCTAAATGTTTGATCGTTCGGTTTTCGAACGCTATTTTACAATCTGGCAGACATTAATGTACAGTCTAACACTATTGTGCATGGTTTGATTTCTATTGTGCAGTATGTCCGAACTTTTGTCACAAACCAAATTGAAATCCGTTTACTTGGTTTATTCGGTCAATTAACTGACTTACCCTAAATAATAAAAATAATTTATTAATTATTTTATAAAAATGTATTTAGTATTTTAACCATAATATATGAAATACCGATATCGATAATGTGCACAGAAACAGTCACTATTGTGCATTTAGTCTAACATTATTGTGTAGTCTATCGAGCGGTATATTTTTATTGGAATTGTGAAAAAACTAAAAGAAAATCTATTGGATCTCATTCAATGGAATATTTTTATTGGAATTCCTGTTGAAATCTATTAAAATAAAAAAATCACCGAAAATGATAACATCAGAATATCCATCAGAATTGTCGTTGGAATTCCAACGAAATATATTTTCTTCGTAATTTCATCATTTTCTTGTCTTGTAGTGTGATGATCCTCATGAAACTCATTCGACTGCAGAGTCGACTTTCTTTCATATCTAAATGGAGTGACACCAATTGCTCTACTCAATTGAATCATTGTCTATGTCTTTGATAATTCATAGCGTATTATGATGCATACTGGACTGCTATAAACACAACCAAACACCTTATGAATTGAATCCTCCCTTTCGAAGACAAAAAATAAAAAATAAAATAAAATTTGCATGTCCACTTCACATATTTAAGACGATAAAAAAGTGACCAAATAAAAAGGAAAAGTTGAAAACTAAAAGAATGCCCTTTCTCGCACAACCACATCATCAACACCTATATAGATCGCAGCAGTACAGAAAAGCTGAGTCCCACCCACAAGTATCAAAATAGTCTCCAGTGTTCTCTGAGAGCAAAAAATAAATAAATAAATAAATAAATAAATAAATAAATAAATAAATAATAAATAAAAATAAAAATAAAAATAAATAAATAAATAAATTATTAATCAGATATTCTTTTATCTATTATTTTTTTTTTTTAATCAAATCTTTTACCAGGTTTGAATCTGTCCAGCCTATATCGATCTCCTTGCATGCAAATCTGCAACAAAATGCATACAACAAGCCTTGTGTCATAGACAAATTACACAACAATCATATGAGGAAAACAGAGTTTTAATATTAGAGAGTACAAATTTAAAACTATATATTATTTTTTTTTTTTTTAT